AGGCAATACAACAACTAAATTCAGGATTACAGCAAATTTCATTGACCAAGGGTAAGAGATGAAGGCTTAGACCAAAATCTAAACCAGCCTACTTTTTTACTCGAGAATTTGCTGTATCGGTTAGTGTCTGATCCGTATTTCGAATTTATCGATAGTGGGGACCACAACAGACATCTTCCACAAAGTTCTTAATGGCCGGATTAATCACTAACCAACAATGATCCAGGTCATGGTTTTGTTTTGGGAAACACACCGCATACCGCACATACCGATGGAATGGAATTCGCCGCTTGCGTGGATTCCTGCCAATTTCTGTGTATTATCAGTGCATCTGGCTCTGTTTTGCCTGTTTAAATGTTATCCTCAGCTAAAGGCTGGAGATGGGGTACTGTGGTTAAGGGTGCGCGACCACGCATGGGGACACAGCCGTTCATGGTGCCTGACCGGACCTACCATCCCGCCGATGCTCCGGTCTCCCACTTCATCCGAGCTCCGTGGTTCACACGAGTATGTGTTGATTTCGGGTTTACCGGAGTTGGGACGTGTCGAAATGTGCGCCAACATCGTCACATCGTCTGGCTCGTGTGTTGACCAATGGGTTCCTCAGAAAATATTCGTTCTTGTGGGGAGGCGTACCAGCGGCAACCGGCGGCGCACAAACATCCAGCGGCAGCCGGTCAGCAACGCAGCGCACGCAACCCCCCACCCCGTCCCCCCCCCCCTCCCCCATCACCACCAATAAAAATTATGAAATTGGACTGCTGCAACGCACTGGTATTTCGTAAATCCCGTGCAGAAGGTTTCCAAATGCGACGGGTTCCGTTCTTTCATGTTTGCATTTACACATGGTTGCTTCGCTCGTCCCACTCAGCAAGAGGTGCCTTCTGGGATGTTGCACGAGCGACCTGAAGTGAGGTGCATTAATTATATTATCACTGTCATTCACTGTCATTATATATATATATATATATATATATATATATATATTAACATGTGATTATTTCCTTGCATCCAGTACTAATGCAAACAAAAATAATAAACTTGTTTACAATCAAAGCTGGTGGCACCTTCTTGTGGTGATAGGAATATATGTCAGTTATATACACGCCAAGACAAATCTGTTTTAGCCCTCGCTCTCCGAGACGGACTTCAGAGGCCCCTAAGGTGTTTCATTAACAAGATCTGAACGATTTTTAGCTGGACACCGACATTTTGGACACCTGGGTTTATATAATTTATGCGCACACTGTGAGCATTCGAAGTTTCTGACCCCGGCATTTCTTAATCTTTACATCTTTCGTTAATTCATATCGGAGACAGTTTTTCGAAGTAGCAAATTATGCATACACCTCGCAGAGCATGTAACTCGGAGAAGCTTGTTTTGCTTCTGCTTTCCTATACTTTTGCTATACTTCTGCTACATCACTCTGAAAAACACTGCTGTCGCTCTGGTGGTTTTGCAAGGTCAGGCCATCCGATTCTGAGGTACGTCAAACCTTGTCATTTGTGACAAGAATATTCCGTTTGAAGGTCATGCGACTTACACATTGGTGGCATATGCCCTACGGTTTTGGAAGCCCTCCCTAACCCTATTTTCCCATTCATGTGAATTGTTAGCTCTTTATGTGACAACACGGTCTGACGCAACAGCTGCCTTCACCACTTTGACCTGACATGATATGTCACAGGTCATATTTGTCGATGTCTATTAGTGCCTATCTGACAGATCGTCCGAGAGCTCTTCAACGCCACCTTTTGCGTTGGCGTCGTATGCTCAGTTCTTTTGAGATAACAGAAGCGGTATATAGGGTGCTAATTTACGCCTTGACCTGGATTGACATGTCGAAGGTCGCATTTCCATTTTGACGTATTTTGTAAAGCTGTTTGACAATATCTTTCTAATATCATTTTCGTTCTAGCTCGCTCAGTACTCGCATTTGGAGCCCTCTCCCTTTCGTAAGGCTAAGGTGGTGTCCGATCCACTTGTAGCTAAGATTCCTTGCCGTTTGATAATCATAAATTACACATTCCAACCAGCATGACTTATGTTTCTGATTTGCGTTTTAAGGCTGCGTTGCCGTTCCCGGAATCCAAAGTGACGTGTTTCTGCTTTAAGGATAAATTGATTCAATGATACCGAGTGCGAGGCCTAGCTTCTCTTCAAGGTCGCTGCCGTGTCGACGTACCTATCCAAACCATGTGGCCTACACAATTTTGCTTGCTGCTTTTTGGACCAGACACATACAGACTTCGAGCACACATTCACCTAACGCAGCTACATGCTTGGATGCCAAACTCATTCATCCGTGGCATGTCGTTTGTATTGTCGTCCAAGCCACGAACAGTACTCTCATCAGGGCACTGGTAACTCTTTCACGTCCAATGATGCACAGTGAACACAAGGACAATAGTACCTGCTCAAACACGCTTACACTAACCCGTGATCCCACTTAAGCACTTCGTCTGGCACTCCACACACTCATCATTCACATTTCCACCAGTACACACGATACGCGCCATCAGCGGAAACACTTTCGAACAAATCACACGATCATCATACGAGGAACAGCCTGTGTAATCCGACCCTGCTTAGACGTTTGATTTGCATGCAAGGATGTTCTCCCCTGCACAGGTACCAGCACCGTTCAGTCTTGTACTTAAATCAGTTCATCTGGAGAGTCTCAGATACAGCCTTACCGGTTTAAGCCGTGTACCCATCACCGCGTCTGAACGCGCACTCTAATCAACCCGCCATCCAGCATTTCTATCATGGCCACAATTCTAGCATTTATCATGTCGCAGCAACGTTATAACATACATAAGTAACAATTCACGCGCTTCGGAATTTATTCCGTGAGTTTTGCAAGGGTAGTACTGGATTTTAAGCACATGTTGGATTTTAAGCATATGTTGGATTTTAGGAAAGCATATGCTGGATTTTAAGCACATGCTTATCAGTGCTTGTCACCTGACCCATGAACCCACCAACTGCGCATCATCACCCCAGTGCAGCCAGTCTCGTGCTGCACAATACTGCGACGAGGCCAGCCGGTGCTCCACTGACCTGCCCTGGCCAGTCAGTACCTGATCGTCACACATGTGGTCGGGCCTATCAGATCACTGTCTTGACGACTCCAACCAAACGCGGATAGATTACCACCATCCATCCGATCCCGTCGTCCACAGAAACTGCGAATACGACCCAAGCGTCGCAACCTCCTCGGTCACGCCGAATTATGGCCTCCTGCGTAACTGGACAGATTCTGAAACTATAACGTCGATTATCTGAACGGACTTTGACACAAGAGCTAACAACGGACATTAATTTGGACTGTGCGAAAACGCGTCCGTGTGAAATTCTGGTCCACGTTAGCTCCGTTGTCAAACGGCAATGCTCATATTGATGAAAAACAGCGTAGCGAGAGTTTTTGACCTCCACTTTCCCGCGTAATCGCGGCACGGGACCTGATCAGGCCTGCCGCCCGAGTTTCCTATTACGGCAACTCGCGAGCCAATCACGTGCAAACATAACCTGGCTCACTGGGATCATCCGGTGATCGTACGCCGAGAATGCCTGACTAAATCATATCATTGCAAATAAATGTACCTCAAAACATGCACAGCACAACCACCCCTCATACATTTACGCTCACATGCCCACCATTTTCCTACCTCACGTGTAAGTCTGGTTCCATAAAAAACGTTCCATTCTACCCACTAAATCCGCCCGTAGCTAGCGGCCTACCAAGCCTCCGTCGCACCAGATCCGGTCATCGCGGTGGGTTCAGATCGCACCGGCGTTTTCGGCGTCTGCGGAACTGCCCAGCGCAGCGCTCTTCCGCCATCCTAAAACGCAATTCAACAGCACCAAAAGAGACGAGACATTTGCGGCGCCGAGGCACCTCGACGACTGAGAGTGCGCTGAAGCGCTGTCAAAAGTATCGCCGGCGAAAGCGCCGACGGTCAATGTGCGGGACTGGTGGAAATCGCGGCAAGCGAGCGGACATCGCGGGACCATGACCCCGTGCAGTGGCAGCTGTTTGGTCGGTGGTGAAAGGGAAGAGGCGTGATTGGAGGGATATTTTTGTGTTAGTTGTAGGCATACACGGCATGCACTACACAGGCTAGCTTTGTTGAACAGAAGCAGGATGCCACTATTTGCTTCTACTCTGCCGAGTTCCCTGATAGCCCATAACAAATCTCATTGCAGGCAATCACAAGACGAAAAATCAACACGGGCTCACGTTCTAGAACCTATGTCACCCGACCTACGCATCAATTCAAACAAATTTAATGCATTTGCACCAACTTATTACAAATTGGCACATGACACTTTCACACGTGCTCAAGTTCAAGAGCTTAACTCGCCCGAACTACGTCTAAAATTATATCAATGCATTTGCACCTACGTCATGAGAATACACAGCTTACTCCACCCACCAAATCTCCAGAGGTATCAGACATGATGAGCATATAGCACGATGATGATGAGTGGTTCATTCGGTCCTCAGATATGCACCATCGCATCATCATTTGGGCAGGAACTCCCACGCGGTGCGAACGTCAGGTAGGACGAACGGGCTGTATACGAACGCCAAAATATCATGCACGAAACATAGCGCTCTGAACTACACTAACTAGACACTATTATGAGAACACCACCATCTGTATCACATCACGGCACCACTATTCACGGTCGGAATTAAGAGCTGATTGCACTGGATGCTTCGTAGTCGAGGAGATGACTAGTCCGTGGCAAGACGCCTACCTTTTCCCGAGTTTCTCTGTGCGCTGGAGCAGCCTCTCAGCCCCACGCACAGGCCACTGTATCATCCGCACATGCTCTTGGGGGCGGAGTCGAGGCGTCGAAACCAGCCTCACAAATGTCCTCAGCGCGAGGCGACCCGCACACTGCGCCGTGACGACCGCACACCAACCCACCAGCAGAGGCGCCACAATCCACCCCACCGCGGTATAGATGCCGCCTACCATCGCCCGCGTCAGATCGTGGTCGTCTCTGCGCACGTCAGCGACGGCCGGTGGTCCAGCACCACGTACTTTCCGGCGCAGCCGTTGGGCGACGGTGCGCCGGGCGGGTGCGGCCCGCCCAGTAGCTGGCGCGCCTCGGCCGGCTCTGCCAGCTCGTGCGACGGCGCGCGCTGCGCGGCCGGCCGCTGGCGCCCTTGCGACATGCTGAGCCGGCGCACTAGCGGCGGCCGGTGCGGCGCGTGCCGCTCGGCGCCGTCCAGCTGCACGGCCGCGTGCGGCGCATCCAGGCAGGGCGACACGAGCCGCGGGTACTGCAGGCCCAGCAGCTCGACCAGCTGGTGCGCGTCGGGCCGCCACGCCGGCTCGACCGCCCAGCACGAGAGCAACAGCTCGGCGCTGGGGACACGGCGGCGTCAGGCGGTGAGGCGGCGTGGGGAACACGACAGCACCACACAGCCAGGCAGCGTGAGGGAGACGGCCGCACCACACGGCGACGCAGCGTGGAGAACAGCGGCTATGGTCGGAGACAGGGCGGCTCTGGTGCCAGCCAGCTGGCCATCGGTGCATAAAATGTCTGCTGCCGCCTGCCTGAAGTTCGAGACGGATTTATGCCGTCCGCGAACATGTGAGGATGCTTTATCATGCAAATATTATGGAAATGGCTGTCGATGAGTTATGAATGCGGGGACAGGGCGGAGATGGTGCAGTTCGAACATGAAGCATCGCTTCAGGCCCGCAGTAAAGAACGGAAAAGTGCAGCCATGAATTTGCGCAATTTAGCTCAGAACTTAGTTCAGCCCAAGCTCCCTATGCTGACCCACGCACAAACTGAACAAGAGCGCACTCGGTGGACACGCCACCATTGAGAGTAACAAGACTCGTCAGGAGTGCAACAGCTGATTGCTGGCGCCACCAACGCACTCGCGTCACACTCAGCCGCTGTAATCGAAACGGGTAGCAGGCCCACGATTACGAATGCACTTGACATGCAATACAACACAAAGCGTTCGGACACCGAGTCCATCGCGGCAACATCTCACGGTACGCTCCTTCTCAAGCCAGCACCCAAGCCCGCGGCGTCATATCAGGACCCTACGACCGGGCTATTTGAGTCACTAACGGTTTGCCACTCGGCTTTATGGAGCCAGCCGGGCGAGCCGCCGCAAACGTCGCACAAGGCAATATCGGCGCGGATAAATCTCATGGCGACTTATGTGACGCTCGAGGCGAAGTGCACAGGCTGAACCCACGGGTGATCTACCGGCTGGCGGTCCGGTGTACTGGGCGTTTCTGGCTCGGAACAAATACAATCTCGAGCGCGCCTGTAAGCCGACATTTTCCGCTTCAGGGGCGCTCTGTCGGGCCTGTCTCTACGCTGAGGGGCTGCCTTTGGCTCGCACGGATGTGGACGCTGGGAATCCCACCCCAGTTGACGTGCTTGATTATATCACCGCAGTATAATTGCAGCGGATGTACGTGGGCGGACAGCACTTTTCCGAAAGCTTACAAATCACCTGTCGCTGGTGCATGTCAAACACTTGCGTAAAGTTCCGAAAGTCATGGACGCGTAAAAGACCTAAAGTCATAACTCGTAAGAGGCCCAAAGTCCTGGACCGCATGTGCGAGTCATCAAACGACGTGACCTTTGCAGGAGTCATTTGTAAATCTGTTGCGCTCCTGCACTGCGCATTTTGACATGTTTGTGATCTGCGACATCACGCGACTTCCGGACAGGATGTCTGAAGCGTAGACTCGGGTAAGGACGACTTCATGTAAGCAGGCCAGGGAAAACTGAACGTTAATTTCAGGGCGGCACCCCACACAGACCACATCCAGCAAGAGTTGCCCGTTTCCGTGCGCTGACATGTTTACAGACAAGGACAGTTTAGGACAGGGCACTAGAAGTTTTAACGTTTCTGGATCGACAGGTCGGCAATAACTGCCTCCACAGACCGCCCACGAAATTACCAGCAGGATGTGTAACGCTTGAGTGATAAAATGCATGTTTCTTGCATTACAAATGTCAGAAAGTGCAGGTGTGGAATGCGTATAACGTCGATTGATGCTCCCGCTACGTGCGCTCCACAGATCTTTGATAAACAACTAGAACCTAAGAACAACAACCAGAAAAGCACTGGCAGAATGCCAATGCATTTTATAGCCTGTACTTGCTGATTGCTGACATTCCGCTACTTGCTTGCTAATTGCTACTGCCTTACTACTTGATGCTATCAAAGCGCTAGCATGACGCGGTACGTCCACACCTTTACAGCTCAAAACACTTCTGATCACGCGCGCCTCCTACAGCCCCTCCCCTTGCAATCACTCACAGTTCCGTTTTGACGCCGGGCGGTACGGCGACGTGGTTGCCTGCGCGCACGTGTTCCAACACCTCCCCGTTACTCATGCCCTGGAACGGGAAGCTGCCGAACGTGGCGATCTCGAACAGCAGCACGCCGAACGACCAGATGTCCGACTTGGGCGTGAAGATGCCGTCCGCCAGCGACTCGGGCGCCATCCAGCGGACCGGAAGCATACCTGAAGTGACGACGGTCGCCGACAGATGCTCAGAGATGGCGATACACTATGCGTACTCTAGTACACAACGGTGCTGAGGAAAACGCAAAGGTTCAGTGGGTTTGACATCCACGTTTTATGTGGCTTGGGACTGCGTCAGACGATAGGTGACCTGTAAGTTATGAAATCCATTGAAAGGAACGTTATGCGTATACTAAAACAGCGATGCTAACCATATTCCTCGTCGAATAACCATGAGAACGAAGGGGTAGATGTATTCATATTCTGGCTAAATGCCTTGATCAAAATGAATCTGAATATTAAATTGGAAAATCCGAATTCAAAATTATCTGCCGATTCCATTCGAGTTTTCAGGCTACATTTTTAAGCAGCGAGCCAGTTTTACAGGTCACCAACATTCCGGGGATCAAACAAAAAACAACTGCCAGCCATCAATACGATATATTGAATACCTAGCTTAAGGACCAAAATGTGTGAAAAAAATGCGTGCACATGCACATTAATTCAAGTGAACAGGCATCATGCTGGTGCGTGATGCGCGATGTCTATTTCATTGAAATCGTTTGCATGCATGACTGAAGCATAATGACTGATGCTTGTTACTTGAAATCGCTCGATGTATGAACGCTGCATAATGAGTGATGCCTGCTATCTTGAATTCGTTTGCATGTACATGTCTTTCACATGTCATTTAATTCTTAGGTATACACTGTGTCGCATTGATGGCCGGCAATTGTTTCTCGTTGAATCCCCTGAACACTGATGACCTGTAAGAACTGGCTCGATGTTTAAACAAGCAAAAACTTTAAAATTGAGTTGGATCGTCAGGCCATTTTGAATTTCAGTTTACTGCTCATATTCGTTTGAACAGGCATGCGGCCGAAATACGAAAGGAGTATGGCTAACGGAGTATCCTAGCTAAATGAACTATTATGGAGCATGCATATATAGATTTACTGTGGGCATATTTGTGAATTTGTTGGAAAATACATCGAGGATCTTAAGAGGCTTCAAACGCAAAAATCGACACACACACACACACATACACACACACACACATATATATATATATATATATATATATATATATATATATATATATGTATATGTATATATATATATATATATATATATATATATATATATATCGAAATCGATATTCCAACCAATGCATAAATACAATAATGCAAAGTAATGTCTTAAGAATATATGTTATCAGGAGATACTCATAGTGGCGATACCCAAGTCGGATCCCACATTTACAGCGGCACCGCTGGTGTTCACTCCACACGACTGGCGACGGCCAACCCACCTTCGCGATGGAACTTGTAGTAGTCGTTTTCGCACATGGAGCGGGTCATACCAAAGTCGGCCAGCTTGACCACATGCATGGTGTTCACCAGGCAGTTGCGACACGCCACATCCCTGCCCGACAACGCATCCAGTGTCACACAACACAATCGGCTTCACACAACACAGCCGGAGTCGCATGACAGAGCAGGCGTCACATGACACAGTCGGTGTCACACAACACAACCGGCATCACACAACACAGCCGGCGTCACATGACAGCCGGCGTCACATGACACAGTCGGCGTCACACAACACAGATGGCGTCACAGAACACAAGCGGCCTCACATGACACAGTCGGCGTCACACAACACACCGGCATCACACAACACAGCCAGTGTCACAGAACACACAAACGGCGTCACATGACACAGCCGGTGTCACACAACACAGTCGGCGTCACACCACACAGCCGGCGTCACAAAACACAGCCGGCGTCAAAGAACACAAGCGGCGTCACATGACACAGTCGGCGTCACACAACACAGGCGGCGTCACACAACACAGCCGGCATCACACAACACAGCCGGCGTCACAGAACACAAGCGGCGTCACAGAACACAAGCGGCGTCACATGACACAGTCGGCGTCACACAACACAGCTGGCGTCACACGGAGTGTACAGATGGCGCCCATGACGATCCGGGTGATACCGATGCCGGTGGTCTTATAGATGATGTGGTCATGGCATCAAAGCGACATTGTTAAAAATGGAAAAATACCAACTAAGTGGATGGCGGTGTATTCCCTTTCATTACTGACTACGATCAAATCAATATGAACCTCGGAAGTACGAACTTTTGATGCTGTTGTTCCGAAAACAAGGGTTTTAAGATATCGATAAGCCATTACTGACAGTGATGATGCTGGCAAACTTGCAAAGAGCACATTTACATTACATCGCTCACTGAACAGGGACGGATCCAGCCTGGAGTTCTTTTTTTTTGGGGGGGGGGGGGCAACCGCTCGTCGCCAGCTGCCTGGTGTGGGATCCGAGGTCCAGTGCATGGTGCCTCTCGCGAGTACCTAGTAGGGACACCATTCAAAACCGAAAAAAGCACCGAAATGCTTTTGAATCCAAAACAGAAGTTAAAACAAAACAGTTAAAACAGTTAAATTCAAAACAGACGGTAAGTAGACGAAACTTTCATGAAGTTCTGGGGATGTTTTTGGGGGTGGGGGGGGGGGCAAAGCATACTCCCAGAGGTGAATATGTTTTGACGGCATGGTAAGACCTCATCCCACCAAGCTGAGTGTGCTGAGAACAAAAAGCTCAGTAACAGTCGAAAAAGGCATTTCGCGTAGAGCACAGCGTAAAAAGTTCTGGAAAGTTGAACACCTATAGCGTATCAGCCGTTCACCATGTTAGTCTCAGTCAAGCGGACTTGAGGGTCTTGGGCCAGCGGCAGAGGTGAGTCCATCGTTTCCATGACTGGAGACCAAAATGGAAGAGCCTGTACCATCCGTCAAGCATGAATAACATCCTAATTGGATGGCGGATAAGCAGAGCGCATGAAAGACATCTTCTCGCATCGCACAAAACGCGACAAACAAGATGGACGCCGTGAGTGTAGCCCTGCCATGCTGGCCTTAGTCCTGAAAGTCACGCTATAGCACACTACCTCCGCCACACACGGTACCTGTGCACATATTTCCTCTCGGCCAGGTAGCTGAGGGCACAGGCCACATCTCGGGCCATGGAGGTGAGCTTCTTGTCCGATATCTCGTTGCACTCATCTTTGAAGCTCTTCTCGGAGACCAGGCTCCGCCGGGAGAGCAGGAATGTTTTCAGGTCACCTGGGCGAGCGACAATCGATGACGTCATATACCAACGGACGGCTGAGTCTGTCAGCCTGTCAGTTCAGAATAGTGATATCCATGTTTCGGTTCAATTCGGCGTTTTTGGTAAGCTCATTGCAATGCCTCTTTGGCCTATTCACCATAACAGCATCAAACAACCCACCCTCGTTCAATTAGCCAGTCAACCAAAGACTATAGTCCCATTCATGTCTGACGATTATTCGCGAGCATTCATAAGCTCCTTAACTCTGCAGCGTCCACAGTTCCCATCGCTCCTTCTATGTACTCCCACTGTCGACAAAGTTCGGCAGTCAGCGTCCGAGCAGTAATACTGTTCCGAGGGCCGCTATGCATAAATCATGAATCACCTGAAATCGATCAGCTGATGGACGGGTTTCAGCTAAGCCTGACCATATGCTATTGTTGCCAATCCTCAGGTACTAAAAGACGTATCTATGTGTCCGCATTATTACCACTTTCTCCACTTCCGTTGCTTCGCATTTAAAACTGCCTTTATTTGGCATTAGGCATTGCTGCCAGCTTCTCTACTTTCTTGCTGTGCATAGGCCAGTTTCCATAACCCTGGTTCCGCATTCGCTGTGATTTTATCATCTAAACGTATTTATTGTACGATATATGATACACAACCACCCACCAGCGAACACTTCATGTACAAACATTTCAAACCATCTTAATGAGCCGCAACGCTTGCGCTGCGTTGCGGCACATCGCGCTGCGGCACGTTAAAGTAACGTTGCACTGAGAACGTTGCTTACACAACGCTCTACCTTGCAGGTAGGGCTCTCAGAGATCACCTGACCTCTCCCGCACCCACTGCTTCTGACTGCAGTACATGCTAGCCAGGATCAAATGAGCGCATCAAGCGACTCGTGCCCCCCCCCCCCCCCCTCCCTCCCCCCGCCACCAGCAGGTCGATCGAAATGCAGGCGCTCTAACCAACTGAGCGGTTGGAATGAGCTACAAACGAGGGGAGACAGGAAATATCAGTCGTAACTTTTGCTGACAAAATTCGGCACTTTGAGAAACAAGACAGGCAACCTGGAAAAATAAAACCACGTAGTTGTAATGGAGAACAGCAAAGCACAACAAAAAATATTACTAATTTTTGTATTGTCAGTTGTACTTGACTGCCATTTGGGAAGGCGAATATACCACTCAACTAATGTTTCGAATACACCACTCAACTGATGTTTTTCTTTAATACATTGTACCGATTTTGCGACGCTTAGGACAGAACCATGTAGTCTAAATTAAGCATAGAAAAGCAACACTGACGCACTCAGGACGCTGAGACAAAAGAAGCATCTGAATATTTGGCTCCAGCCAACTACAAATACATGATTGGGCGCGCCAGTTTAGAATCTCAATGCTACAGAGTTATTTGCAAACAACGCAATCAAAGATCTTAATGTGGTGGTTTAATCACCTTTCCCACGCGCAAGTCCAGCATTAATCTAAGCAGAAAAGGTGTCATCCGACTCTGCTATGATTTCGTGTTCTTCATTCTAAAATACGTCGTTTTGTTATTCTAGAGGTGCCAATTTTCTTCCCAAATGTTGAAGCTTGCCCACACAAAAAACAACTGATACTTCCCTTCCTATCCGTTCCCATCCAAAGGAAGACAGGTGGAGTGGCATTCACGAATGGAGGTCGGCACATTTGAAGGGTTCTCCGGAACTTCGTAAGCTGTTTAGTGCATTTGCGAGGAACGCCATGCATATAGATACGAGGGGAGTAAAAGTTCTATTTCTACCAGAAAAACCAGGAAAATGGAAAAGTTGATGCGTTGATATTTTGACAACATGCCTTTATCAAAGCGAGTATCCGTAGTAAATGCAAAACTGCCTGGCGACCGTACTCCATTTTTCAGGGTTTTCTTTTAAACCGCGGGCCACAGTTTTTACAGGTGACCAACATTTACGGAATCAAACAAAGAGCAATAGCCAGCCGTTACTATGATACAGTGCATATCTAACTAAGGATAAGGCAGTACGAACAATACGTGTACATGGAAAATAAGTCAAATAAACCGGCATCATCACGCTTCATTCAAACATGCAAGCAATTTCAAGTAAACAGGCCCCACGCATCACGCGTCAACTACACATGCAAACTATTTCAAGTAAACACGCATCGCGCATCACGCGTCAGGCATCACTCGTACATGTAAACGATTTCAAAATAGTGCTCGTCACACATCAAGGCACGTATCACATACGCATAATCAGCCATAATGAGCCACGTAAAGTCTGGTCGCCAACTTTTTATCAGAATGCTTCACTTATTTTCCTATCTGGATGGTACTCTGCTCTGAAGATGACTTTGAGCTCTGAAAGGCATTCTTAGATATGCACTGAACCGCAGTAATGGCTGGCAACTACTCCTTCTTTAACCCTCTACGTGTTGGTGACCTGTAAAAACTGTGGATCGCTGTTTTAAAAAAAAGCAACTGAAAAATCTAGAAGGATCAGAACGCAATTTGTAATTTGCTACTGCTTTTCGCTTCGATAAAAGCATGTTGCCGAAATATCAACGCATCTATTTCTCCATTGCCCTGGTTTTTCTACGAGGAATAAGGCTATTCCGAACGTAGATGGGTAATCAATTCGTGACGTTTTTGGACGTTACTATTCGACCAGTAGTTTTAATCGTCCAATAAGTCGTGGTGGCACAATAAACAAACTTGCTGCGGTTTTTAGCAGTTGAAACATTGATAAATAATACTAAAACACCCAGATAATACCACAAAACTAGACCAGAGTCAACAAGACAAATGCATAACGTACTTATCAGCACGCAGCATGCAGCAAAACAGAAAATACTGTACGAACACACAGCTTTTGAAGTGTGGCTAGCTCAGTCAGCTGCACTCGACTGACTGTGACGTCGCCGTTTTCAGCTACTTCTGCCTTCTATCTGGGATGCAAATGTCAATCTTTCTTAAAGATTGATACAACTCTGAGCTCCCACGTCAGACATGTTCGTAATAGTCTGTTACACAAATCAATGTTGTGTTGGTACTTAGGCTTCAGCAGGATAGGAGATAAACTCATCGGTGAGGGGGGGGGAGATGGCATAGGGAATGGGGGGGGGGGGCAGTGGCCACCCAAAAGGATATAAATCGACACCCCTGATTGCTGTACGCAATCAATGATGCCGTACGTCAAACAGCGCCGTTATTTTGTGAGCGACTGTGCGACTTTTGTGAGCGACTCCCGGTGTAATAGTTTTGTTGTGCAAAAAGTCATACGGGACCTTATGACAGTCACGCTTCAGTAACATAACTGTGTGTTTCTCAAGTCGTGTGTGCCTGCTGTAACTTTCCGTGACACTATACTGTCTCTGATCCTATGTCTGGCCACGGACACCTTCCATGTCAACGCCTACTCTTACCCACATAGGCGTAAGAACGTCTCAGAGTATGGAGGCGGGAGGGGGGGGGCATCACAAATTTTGAAGACTCTTTCCACGCATTACCACGGTACTGTTGAAAATTCACAAGAAGTGGGGGTCATGCCCCCCCCCCCTCCTCTCTTCCTACACGTGTGCTTATACCCACGTCACAGACGGAATATTTTTACTCCAGACTCAGGCTCTGAGCGATTGACTCCAGCGGCTAACTCACCGTACAGCATGAACTCCATCACGGTCAGGATGGGCTCCGAGAGCGTACACACGCCCAGCAGCTGGACGATGTTGGTGTGGTTAAACTGCTTCATCACCTCCGCCTCACTCAGGAAGTCTAGCTTCTCCTCCAGCGTGGAGTTCAGCTTCAGCGTCTTCACCGCCACAGAGCACTGCCAACAGAGAGCCAGCACGCTGACCAGCCAGTTCAACCCTACACGGGTAGCGTTAGCCGTCAAGGCTCTCCTGAAGTCATCACTCGTCCCAGATGCACAGGCACCACTTTTAAGACCATCGATGACTGTTTTTCAGCAGCGTAAATTACGAGAAGTGAGAGGAGGTGGACATTTCGCCGATTCTTCGTACTTTTCTCGCTTGGGAATAGTATGAAACTGTGTCAATAGATGTTACTGAAATTTCATTCTTCGCTAGACGACATGGACAGAATTTCGACTCACGTTAGCCAAATTTTACCCCTCATTGTAATAACTTGCCGAAATTTTTGAACGCCTGATTACCAACAACGTGTTAAAGAAATCCGAAAATACTTGCTACAGCAATTCCCTGACTTCAAAGACGCTTTGCCTTATATTAGAGCTTCACTGTTGGCCATAAAAGGCTAAAACGCCTAAAATGGAGATATATGCCAGATTGAGCGCGCCCTTCGTCTCGTTCAATACTCACCCAGGACTGCCATTTGCAATCCTTACCATAAACAATGACTATTTCCCTGTAGAAGATACCGTGGCGGGGGCGAGGAAGCGATGAATGTCCGTAAGATGATCAGGGAATGTTTCCAATTTGTATCTTTAAATGACACATGCTGTTGCAAAGTTCTGTTCTGACAATGCTCGAAACGAGCACAACAATTTATCGTTATTTAATCGCATCGTTCTTACCGGCCTTGTCACCAGCCATCTTAATGTAAAGGAAAAAGGACGTGATAGGTCTTGTATGAATGGCACAAGGAAAATCAGATTAAGCACGATTACATAAGGGAAAAACTGCATAGTTTGTATGCTTTTGATAGTTAGAAACAATGAGTTTCCTGTTGTTTTTTTTTGGGGGGGGGGGGAGTTGGTAAGACGTTATGAACCATCGCCGTGACGGGCCCTTTTCCATACCGGGGACTAATAGGGAACCGATACGACCCCCGCCCCTTCCCCCCGGTTGACAAACCGCGAGCGGTAGATGCTCACGGAAAACACCAGTGAATTTTTCCTGACAATATTTCGGGATTGGTAATAATTTGTATGCCACTGGGTCAACCGTTAAACTCATTATGCTAGCTTAAAGCTCCAATGTAAACTTACCAATTGAAATTCGCAAAGTTGATATGGACCGTCAGAACAGTGTGTAATAACGGTTATTTCGATCCAGCGGCAGTTGAAAACTTGTGTGACGCATGGCGAGGCATTTTTTTCGGTGATTTCACATCGTATTAACACACAATATCGTCCCGCGCGGGCGAGGCTTTTGGTGAAGACGGCGAGACTGTTTCACTCTTGTTGTCACCAGTGGGTGGAAAGCACCGGGGACATGCTTCGTGGGGCTGAGTGACATTATGATCTGAAACGCCTGGTGCGTCAGCACGTCAGGCGAAAATTTCTGCTTGGAAAACAAATGGCGCTTTTGATAGTTCTTAAAGTGCGTAAGAATAGGGTTTAATATTGCCGATGCTGTTTGCATAATGGGTGTGATATTTTTGGGTTGGACGAATGCTGCATGAGTACTGACTTATGGTGCCTATTAGCACCTACCACCGTTGGCGCTTATGATGGTAATTGTGGAAGTTGAATGAATCATTTGTTTCCGGGAGAGTAATGTCATATTTAGCATCATGACGAGTTTATTATATTCCTGACATTCGTCACACAGTGGGCCCTGCGTCAGATATACACACCATATAGTGATTCGTGAAAATAATTTCCAAACAAATGGCGCCTGAGAGGAAAATTTACTGACGATGCTCAGTCACGTTCTTGTCATATTCTCTGCTTATATTGATGATTTGCATTGATGATGACTGCATGATCGATGTGGACGCAAAATGTAACCGCTTTTCGCGAAAATAAAAAATTGAAATCTATACTGCATCTGTTCTGCTTTCTTCAACTTTTGAACAGAGCTGAGGTGCGACAGAAGACACACAAATACTCGGTCTAGCATTTTGTGGTCTCCGGAAACAATTTGAAAATAAAATTTAACATTACACGAAAATGGAGCGCCATCGAAGGTTACCGGAATGCGGGGGGGAAGTTTCTGATACGCCGGGTATGATCGGTGGCAAAAACCGATATTTTTGCGAGCCATTTGGTGAAAAAAATACAAAAACGAAAACAGATTATAACAGACCAGGCCATATAACAACAGGCCATCCCAGCTAGACGAAACTCAATGCTTAGTATTGGTCTGTACTCGCTAACGCTTGCAACGTATGTGCAGAGCACATGTCGAAACGTTAATGTTTTGCTGTATGAGCAAGTCGAGCCACAAGACGTTGCCAAACATAGTAGCTTTAATCAGAATGGTTTTTAGCAGGTGACAAGAATACACTATAGCCTGTACATCAGTGGCGACATCACAGATCAGTGACGACAAAATGTTTTTCCAATGATCCTCAGATCAGAGCTTTTCACAGACTTTTCAGTCCCGATATACTTCTCATACAAAACAGCATAAAATACCACACAACTCAGTCTATTATTAGTTGTAAGAATCGCGGTTGGCCGCAGTATCTCGTGAAGGACATGATCGTGATCGACAGACGTGATCAGCTTGCTACGCGGCTTTATAAAACGTCGTGTTATTTGAGACAGATGGGCTCGAATGCTCGCCACGCGGATTGAATTAGGCTCAGTGCAGGGCTGTGGGCTGCCATTGGTTGTGTTCATGTCGTGAGAAGCTGACGACTGGGTTGAAAAACGTAGCCAATCATCAGTTTTTTAAGGCGCTGTGCGGCTTTTCTGAGAATATACCGTGGAGGGCGTCCCTAGTAATAGTGTTAACAGACCCTGCCGATCTAGAACGTTTGTCTGTGGAAACCCGAACTGTAGCTACAGAGGTCAACGGCGGACGTTTAAGCGACACATGTCGCGGATTCTGCGGGGCTTTCTGCTCATGAGAGGAGCAGCGGCTTACACCAGCGATGCTGAGCATTGCTGGTGTAACCCCTCAGACTGCCCAACGCACCGTACACTCATGAACACATTGTATTTAGAACAACGTGTTCTATATACAGTTGTATGGAGCACAAATAAAATACCTCAAACACATTATATATAGAGCTGAAATTAAGGTGCTAGAGGTGTTAAAACGTCGTTCACATCTGCTGATACCAATATTGCATGGGTTTTGCCCTAATGAACTGAGATCACGTCAGGAAGCGCGAGTTCTGCGCCTGTAATGATTATGGGAAGATATTGAAGGTCCCTAACGCTTATGAATGATTGTGCGATGAAGTCATGAAGCCAAACGTGATACTGTTTCTCGGTGCTTGTAGAGCCATGTCATCGGATCTTTTTTCTTCGCAACATACTCTTAAGAATTGTCGGAGTATTGCTGCTACGCTCATCCAGCACCCCTCCAGCCAGGGAGCAGAGACAGAGTCTTTCGTGCAAATCGCAAAGGCGCATGCGAATGCCCATTCACATTCCGTGCCACGCAACGTCACGCGCATGGCATCATTTCGAGCCGGCCTTCCTCCGCGCAAAAAAACAACGTCGCGTCGAAGTTCCCGCAAGCCTCTCACACCACCCAGAACAGCCTGTCCGCTCGCAACGCCCATCCAAATGTCACGGCGAGCCCGCACCGCGCGTCCCTGACCCTCGCCAATGCCCGACCCACAGCGCGTCGCCACTACCCAAGCAGTCGGGTCCGGTTTCGTCGCCGCCGATTGGACCGTCATTGTCGCCCGGGTCGCACCGCCACCGAGCATCATTGGCCGATTCCGGGAGGCTGCCCGCGCAGATTCGTTGTTCAGTCCGCCGCCTCGAAACAACTATTGCCGCGGGGAGGACGCGCCCGACGCGGGGTGGGCTATTTCGAGCGGGCGGTGACGCGGCGCAGGGCGGGTACAGTGGGAACCACTGTTGGGGTGCCACGGGACAGCGTCCGCGGCCGCCCCGGGCGGGTGGCTCCGGGGGCGCCGAGGAACAGCGTTCGCGGCCGCCCGGGCACGTGGCTCCAGGGGCGCCGAGGAACAGCGTCCTCAGCTGCCCGAGCGAATACAGCGGCTCCGGAGGCGCCGCGAGCAGCAGCCCCGGCCGCCCCGGGCGGGTAGTGTCTCGGACGACTGCGGACTGTATCAAGTATACCGATTAACCGCCTGTTCAGTGTCGTTGCGAAATAAACGAGCGAAGGATTAGCATGTGACGCGGTGGCATCGAAGTTGCGGGTTAGGTATGCCAGTCGAATGTATCGGCGCGACATTTCAAGCATGCTGCGATCCAGATACTGCAGTATACACTTCTGTTGAATGATCTGGGTGATACAGCTTATAATGCCCGTACATCACTTCAGCCCAAATACCCATGTCCCTCAGATTAGTTCATCCATGTGACCCATCTCCAGGCCTCTAAACTGAAAAGGTGCAGCGTCCTCCGTCTCTGCATCACACCCGCGCATCATTTCAATCGTGAAGAGGCCTTTACCTGTTTCGGAACTTCGACCGATTGTTACGTCCCATGAAACAATATTGCACACCTCAATATCGCACATGTTTGGTAACATGTAACCTCTGCCTCGTCTGTGACGAGGCACGATAATATCCACACGAGTGTCCCACATCCTCGTAAGCCTTATCTTGATCAAGACCTGCCGGGCCCGGTTTTGGAGGTGATCTACTTCTGTCCATGGAGGTGGTCTACCCGGTCGGTAGCTCGCCCCCTCCCCTGTCGTCCCTTATAGAAGTCACCTAACCAGCAGAGCACCTCAGCCCCCCCCCCCCGCCCTCTACCCTCTCGTCGACATTGCGCCCGTCCCTCGTATATCAGCCTCTTGTTACTCGCTCCAGCACCCCCCCCCCCCCCGCCCACCTTTTCATCGATGGGCCGCACGTCCCTCGCACCGCCGCACTCCCGTAACCCAGACCCCCCCCCCCCCCCCATCCTCTTCACGCCCTCCCGCCCCGGTCTCGTCTCCCTGTCGCTGTTCACCGCAGCACCCAGCACCTCCCTCCCTCGAAAATCCCCCGCCGGATCACTCACCCACTCCTCCGGCAGGTCCGTCGGGTGGCGGCGGGCCGCCACGCGCGCGGCCCGGTCCTTGACGAGCAGCGCATCGCCGCCGTACACGGTGCCGAAGGCGCCCTCGCCCAGCTTGCGGTTCATCACGATGTTCTCCCGCTTCACCTCCCACTCGGCAGCGTTGGCAAGATCCAGTCCCAGCTGCAGCATCTTGCCCTCGTACCTAGTGGACGGCAGAGGCAGGGGCTCGGGTCAGCTTAAGGGGGGGGGGGGGGGGGTAGGCAGAGGAAGTGGTGGACGTGGGCTGATAGAGGCGAGAGCGCTACAGTGCGGGATGATGCACGAATTTGTGTTGCAGTATGGCGGCGTATTGACTGGGGAAATGGTAGAATCAGACTGCACGAGATGATGCATTTTAAAGTACCCGTTTCAAACACCAAAGTTGTGGATTTTAAAAAAAGTCACGAGCGAAGCCACCACAACGCGATGCAACGTGCCAAACGAAGACTCACGCGTGACGCCACGCAAGCAGCCAAAATTTCCCTTAGGGGTGGGGGCAAAGGTCAAGTTCCTACAAACTCCTCCCTAACTTAGACTGCCCAGCGAAATCCACTATCTAATGTAAGCCTCTTGGCTCAGGGCTAAATCCATGCGTAAATCCTCAGGCTGGACATAGCCGCAAAGCGCCCCCCCCCCCCCCTCTGGCTAAATCCATGCGTGACGTAAAGCTAGCTGAAAATCCCCGCCCACCTGCGCTTGTAGAAGAGCAAGCAGACGACCAGGCTGACAATGACGATCAGCAGGACGATCAGGATGACGATGATGACGGCCGTCTGGCAGTCTGTGCCGAGCAGGTCGGCCAGAGGCTGCAGGTCGCAGGGCGGGCTGGAGCCGTCATCAGGGCGCAAGCCATCCGCCGTCAGCCACTGGATCTTGGATGTGTCCAGCACCAGCCTGGCGGCACGCAGTGCAGAGCGGGTGGTTGCTGCAAGCACTATGGTAATCAGATTTGGACACGTCTGCGCCAGTTTGGCGGTGCGAGGCGAAAGCGAAGCAGTCGGTGCCGGGAAGGGCGGATGTGACCAGATCTTGGGATCGTACTGCACCCATTTGGTGACACGCGGCTAAAGGCTTGTTGACGATGATTGTCATTTAGGGTCACGCCAGCTTCCAGAGGCATTTTGTGCCCACGGTAGTATTACACAACTAACGGAGCGCGTACATGTCTAAAAAGCCGGTATGCTTCAGATCACTCGTAAGCAAGCGAGAATCCTTTTCAAGGATTTCAGAATACTTAACAACTGAAGAATATTGTCCGAAAAGAAGAAATCACTTTTCGGCAGAACCCGGACGTGAATAAACCATGCGACGAACGTCTAACGACAGACAACGAGGACAGTGGCAATGCTCCCCGGCAGACGAGAACTAACCACGTGTTGCTCATCTATGACCAACCCCGGGCCGCACTGGTTTATTGTCTCACGTCTCGCCATCCACCAGCTGGAGGGATTGGCTTCATCCCCTGGAGCTTATTGTTGGCCGTGTCCCATCAGCGGTACCATTTTACGCAATGACCTGAGTTCATGCCCGGAAATGGCCATGGGTGTTTCTTGAACTCGTGCGCTGCCCAGTGATACAGCTACGTCACACGCATTGCCTGTAGCGCCGATAAGATGCGTTATCCGACGCGCGATAGTTTTATGCGCTAGTTCCGGAGCGCCTCCATGCGAATTAAAATTACTCCATGAGGATACATGACGGATTAGAGGCCATCAGAGCTAAAGCGCTGCTCAAATAATCGGGTAGGATTTAGTGTAAATTATCATTACCTCATCACTGAAACAAGAACACCTCATTAATAGCGACTAGCTCCTAAGCGTAGGCTGCGGTGTTTGGCCAATGGAAACGGTCGAATAGGGCGTAGCGGAGAGGTCACAGCCAATACCGGTACGTCAACTGGCCGTCCGACGATGGATTGGCCCACGTCAAGGTCACCGTCGCAGCCCGACGGGGGCAGCCACTGCTCGGCAGTCGGAGCGTGGTAAGCTGGCGCTGTCGTGTTCAGGACCGGTGATGCATCACGACGACTTTGTCGGCTTGCCGTGCCAACAATAAAGACTCCTAAATGGAGACGGAAAATGACGGAAGGGAGGTGGGAGACAGGAGCGGAATTGTACACTGATGTTGCGAAGGATATCCAGACAGAATAAGGAGAGCAGATATGTGAAGATACACGATAAAGAAGATGGAAGGGAAAGCACTGAAAAAGGATACATGATTGTGAACGGAGAGACGAATGGAAGGGAGCGCAACGGGATCAGCTGCTAAACGAAGCAGGAAGAGTTATGGAGATGTCTTAAAATAACCAGGAAATCTAAAGATTGAACATAAGAAAATCGGTGGTGGACGGGGCAAAGGTCTTCCACGTTTGAAAGGCCACATAAATCTATGACCCCGAACTTTACCTTACTCCTAATGCGATTTGGACGTCTCCGAGAGGATGCTTTAATTAGGCTGATTCCACTTCGCCCACAGCCGGACCCACGTGCTTAGCGTCGTCGGAAGGGCCAAGCCAGACAGGCCGGTGCCATCACGTCAGCTGTTTAATCAGCTGATGGCGACAGCGTGGCTGGTGACCGCGCGGCGATCGGCTCGGTGCGCCAAGTTCACGCGCTAGCCCGAGGCGCCGCTAGGCAGGAGATTTTCCGGCGGCGCCGTCCCAACACACAGCGGCTTGTCAGCCCGTGGTCGTGGCCACCTCCATCATTATGCAAGGCACATTGCTGACGCAAAACAATATGCTTCTGAGCTAAATCAACTGCCTTGGGCTGTTGTGCACAACATGAAAATGGAGAAATGTCTGAAGACAAGTGGAAAAGACCGACTTTTCGAGCACATGTCTGGAACAGGACGACTGGGCCAAGTGTAAAAAGTATTATGTCACTGGACTCCCTGAAAAACTAAAACTAGTTACGACGATGCGGCACGTTGGCTGGAAGGTACGTGCATTCAAGCACAACCGAACATACCAAGACGTCACTCATATGCCACTTGAGGGGAATCCATATGGCAGGTTTGTTACGGCGTGCGCCGCGTGGCGCTACGCTAACGTACAGCAACGCTTCGTTCACTGCAGAATGTTACCAGCCGTTACCTACCAGCTCTTGTTACCAGAATGTTACCAGGTGTCGCGGATGTCTGCAGATCGTGAGCTCAGCAACTCAGTTGCTGACAGAGTTCTTCCCAACGCGGAAGAGTGAGCTTTGTTGAAGGATATGACACCAAAAATTGGAAGCTTCCGTGTCTCGTCAGAAAGCTACATGATATCACACCCACTATTATAATAGCCACCATTATCATGGTGCATACCACGGCAACCCATTACTACTCTCGTTCTTTACACGTACATAATGTCCAGCCTTACCACCGCCTTGGGTGCTCTAACCCGTAGCATCGCCGTTTGTGTTACGCATATTACAACGGCTATCACCACACGCTATCCCATGCCTACAATACGTCGGCAGTACTCACTTGCCTCCCTCAGTGCTGTTCGGCTCCGGCAGGAAGCGTCCGACCACATGGTAGCGGCCGCCCCGCCACTGCTTGACCTCCGTGATGCTGACCCGAGAAGGGCCCACGAACCGCAGGTGGCCCGACACGCCGTCAAAGTCGGTGGCGCTGATGATGTCGACCAGCCGCCTGCCGGCGCGGCGGCGGCACGGTCAGCGCCGGTCCCGCCGACCGGCACGGTCAGCGCCGGTCCCGCCGACCGGCACGGTCAGCGCCGGACCCGCCGACCGGCACGGTCAGTGCCGGACCCGCCGACCGGCACGGTCAGCGCCGGTCCCGCCGACCGGCACGGTCAGCGCCGGTCCCGCCGACCGGCACGGTCAGCGCCGGTCCCGCCGACCGGCACGGTCAGCGCCGGTCCCGCCGACCGGCACGGTCAGAGCCGGTCCCGCCGACCGGCACGGTCAGCGCCGGACCCGCCGACCGGCACGCGACGCGAGCCGCTGGCCGGCCTCCGCTGCGGGGGTGGTGGAGCCGAACGCTTACGGGTAGGGGGTGTGGACGTGACCGCGTGCATACAGAGCGACAGACGCGCAGGCAGACACGCAGACAGACCGACAGACGTACACACACAGACACACAAGAAGTCACAGGAATTATTCTACATTCATTCATTCATTCTACCGGAAAACTGAAGCCGGACGGCTACGACAAAGAGTTCGCTGAGGCGTTCAGGATGGCAGGCGATTCTTTTGTATCCGCCAAACCATTTGTGGTGAAAAACGGCACTTTCCCACTTGCAGTCTGTGACAATGCTCTCATAATGCAGCGGGTAGTTTCTTCAAAATGAACAAGCACTGACATTAGGGGGAACATCTGGTCCCTCCACTACACTAAGTCGCGAAGAGACACGCAAAACCTCCACTTGGCTCCGTTTGATGCATGTGATATTTATCAGTGTATTCCAGTAAATCATTCGGTGCTGCGTTCCTCGTCTGGAACTCGTTTCAAAAACGTTTCCTGACTCGCCCACATCGTGATGCTATTGTTCCGTCCCACCCATCCCGTATTGTTCCCGGTCGGTATGCCCTACACCCGTTGCGTTTACGTCGGTGTGTTTTCCCAGTTGTGTTGCACTTCGCAGGTCACATTCACACCACGCACGGTTCCGCGGGCCCCACTCACTCACTCGTTCGGTTCCAAGGGCCCCACTTACTCACTCGTTCGGTTCCGCGGGTCCCGCTCACTCACTCGTTCGGTTCCGCAGGCCCCACTTACTCATTCGTTCGGTTCCGCGGGCCTCTCTCACTCACTCGTTCGGTTCCACAGACCCCACTTACTCACTCGTTCAGTTCCGCGGGCCCCACTCACTCACTCATTCGGTTCCGCGGGCCCCACTCACTCAGTCGTTCGGTTCCGCGGGCCCCACTTACATCTCGTTCGGCTCCGCGGGCCCCGCTCACTCACTCGTTCAGTTCCGCGGGCCCCGCTCACTCACTCGTTCGTCCCGTCCGAGCGGAAGTTCTGGTACCGCGACGGCTCGTCCTTCAGCAGCTTGTGCAGCGCCAGGCCGAACACCCAGGTGGCGTCATACGCGTAACTGGCGTAATCGGACTCCTTCACGGGGTGCTGCGACACAACGTTCTGTGTGAGGGCGCGACGCCTGGACCCTGCACGGGGCGTTGCGACACAACGTTCTGTGTGAAGGCGTGATGCCTGGATCCTGCACAGGGCGCTGCAACACAGCGTTCTGCGTGAGGGCGCGATGCCTGGATCCTGCACTGTGGCTGCGACACGGTACCTTATGAGGAGACGGGACACGAGTGTCTGGGCGGCTCGGGTCCATCGCACGTTATGCAAGTGACTTGCGCACGTTATTTGTTATTACACACAACGTAACTGGCTGGTTCGCATTTTCCTTCAACCTTATGGAAGGAACACAGAAGACTGTTATATTCGCATGACGTTGAGCGCTGTTTGTGTCCTCTATTTGCACCATCTAGACAGTTTTATCCGACAGCCAGTTTGCCATGAAAAGTGAGTACGTCGACTGTCCACGAACATTCGCCGGTGGGAGGGGAAGACGAAAATGATGCATCTTTCACCAGCTGTTGAAATAAGTACACGAACACGAATAGTGTACAGCGTTAAGGGTAATTTCAAACAACTGAATACACCAACATGACCAACGCATACAATCACTAACAGATACCCCATGCGACAAGGAGCAGCAGGGCCGGGCTAACCTTCGAGCAGTTGCCCTTGTAGTACTCCCTCCATTGGCGGACCGATATGCCCTCCTGCATGAGGGATGACTCGTTGCTGGGGAAGTACGCGTGAGCCAGGGCGAGGTGGCCGTCCAGCGCCTGGGGGCATGACGGGACGTCCGCGGATTACACCACACGCCACTGACACATACTGACACTGACACATATTCGCACATGTACAGGGCGTTGCCGGTGGCGAAGAGGATGGCCTGCACGCCTGGCGAGCCGGAGGTGCGGGCTGTTATTCCCCGCGGCGCCCGCCCTTCCTGCCAGGATGAGAGGCAGGTGACGCCCTGTAGCCTAAGGAGTTGAGTGCTGGGGGTAAGTGAGTAAGAAGTCCACTCGCGTGGGGCTGACTGCAATAGTTGGGAGGTTAGGCCGAGTGTTAGGGACGGGGGTGGGTGCCCCAGATAGAGGTGAACCTGACTGAAAATTATTTAGAAAATTGCGAAGTTCCAAGCTTTTCCGTTTTATGCAACCCAATGCGGGCTTCGAGATAAAATGAGATGGATTACCTCCCCCCCCCTTCCCCCCTTAAACCAGGTTGAGGATATCAGCGGTTCCCACCGCTACAAAGGAAACCGCATGGCCTACTAAGCGCAATCGTATAAACTTGGATCCATCGTATTGGTCGATATTTTAGTGATGCCTGAATCGTGACTATGACAAATTTTCACGTGCAGTGATACTTTTGTTGGTTACTTTCGAGAAATCGAAGGCTGCGGCGACTTGAAGGGTAGTGGGAACGAATGTTTTGTCGCTGGGTCGACATAGGCTCACCACACGGAAGTTTTTCTACTAGCAAATAGTCTCACTCGCAATGATGCTAAACGTGTTGTAAAAACTAACTTCTGTGACAACCAACACATTTATACAAATGCAACGCTTTTGGTGGCTTGAAAAACTTACAACGTAACTATAGTTGACATCACAGCAAGGTTAATTATTCTCAGTCATTAGATCCCATTTAAAGTAATCGCATGTGCTGCTTTAGTTAAAACAACTGTCCCACCGCCAAACGTTTCGAAGAGCTGACGGAAGCCACCTCGGGCAGCCCCGTAACCGCGGTCCAGATAACGCTACAGTCTGGCACAGCCAATGACGCGAGGCAGCTGGCTGACCCCGAAAGCATCTGGCAATACCACAACCTGTTTTCTGAAGACGTCCACAAACACTGGCCAGAAAGGTTCCGCGTCCAGCTTCTGGTAAACAAACGTGACCTTTCTTGACGTCAGCACGGTTGAAATATTCGCACATTTGTGGCGCTGCAGTGCCTCAAGCACCAATAAACCAATGGCATTCACTGGCCCCTCTTGCAACCATGTGCACCGTAGTGTTTACTTTCAACGTGAAGGGCATGGAGCCATGACACGGGAAAAGGGAAGTGGGGGGGGGGGGGGGGGGGCGCTAGTGGGTGAAAGGACGAGAAGCGGGGGAGGTTCAGTTAAAGTAACGCATCTTCCGAATAGGGAATAACTTGGAGCCGAACCAGGTATGCACACTAGGTTTTCGGTGTTGACCAACACTCAGTTTGGTGTTTTCTTCATTGAAAAAATCCTCACGTCACCGCCATTTTTTACGACAAAAGTTTTTGCCTCCCCATGCCACAATTCACAGGTTTCAGCCTAGCTTTCGATTGCCTTGATGTAACTCAAGGAGAACAAGTGGTTTCACCGTCTGCTCGTTTGGGTTCGCCACAATACACGAGATCATACCACACCACTATCGGACATTACGCAGTGTCAACTTCCGAGTATCGGACAAACAAGATTTATTGTGCCACTTATCATAATGAGGTCAGTGTGACTCATGCATTTACACACCGATGACTTCGATACAACAAGTGAACTTGGAGACTACACAACGTAAATTCGATGGGATGGTCCGTAACAGCTTTTGAACATGACCTTGCTACCCTTTAAATCTCAAGCTTTGTTGATTGCTGATACTACTCTGAAATGCAAGAACACGCGTTTTCGTCTGGCGCCAGCTGTACAGACACCGCTCTGGGTGTTATATTTTAATATTTTTGTTTTGTTTCAGGCATACCTTTACTTTGTTCCTAGATCTAAGCGATCTTTGGGCACGTATCCCCAGTTTTCTCCGCTGGGTTACGTCCCTGGTGACACTTAAGTATTCTACGTCACTTAAGTATTCTACGTCATTTGTGACGTCCTCAGTCATATGAAAATATCCAACGACTTCTGGGTGCAGTTCACCTGTGCTCTCAACCGACGTTTCAACTTTGCTTATTCGGTAATAAGATCATTTTACGCCAGTTGAGTTACTTTTGCTCGTCAGGTGGTCGTGGCTGACGCAGGCCCCAGGCGATGAGGGATTATTATGTCGCGGTAGACTGCCCTATATTGCTAGTGTTACATTGTTGGTAAGTTCGTGTGTAAATAATTAACACTGTAGATAGCATGATTACATTTCATTGAATTAAGATAACGTTGTTATAGAATGCATACCATCATCGAAACCGTTCGCAAAATTGACGACGGGTTTTCAATGAGCTGTAATGGGACACTGCAGATGGCTCGATCACACTTCCGTGGAATTAGAAATACGACGCCATACAATTCATGCCATCGTCAAATTGCTTGATGATTGACAACGCATGCCCACGATGTGAAAATGTGGAATTCCCGAAATCGCGGGCGGGGCCGAAGCAAAAACACCGTTTCCGCGAGGGCAAAAGAAAATATTTTGTGACATAGCTTAAATAAAAAATGGCGTACTTATGCGTCAATTACATTACAACGATACCGCAGAGAAGGAGCGTGAGTCAGCGAGTGCGTGAGTGATCGACTGATTGATCGATTGGTTGGTTGAGCGAATGAGTGAATGAATGAGCGAGTGAGTGAGTGAGTGAGTGAGTGAGTGAGTGAGTGAGTGAGTGAGTGAGTGAGTGAGTGAGTGAGTGAGTGAGTGAGCGAGCGAGTGAGTGAGTGAGTGAGTGAGTGAGTGAGTGAGTGAGTGAGTGAGTGAGTGAGTGAGTGAGTGAGTGAGTGAGTGAGTGAGTACGAGGCAGAGAGGTGGAGAGACATAGAGACAGTGAAGAAAAGGAAAAGATTAACGCATATATATATATATATATATATATATATATAGCATAATTTGCTCCAAAATATGCATAACATTCGATTTTGACTATTCACAAGATGGTCAACTTATCGAGGGCGTAGGGACATGACATTTTATGACGCCGTGACAAAGATTTGTGATCCTGTCCAGCAAAACGGATTGATAAAAAAACAATACTAAAAAATGTAGAATTCCACCGCAGGAATGGTGGTTTTAGGACCCAACCAATAAGCAGTCTGCTCACTAAGTCCACAACCACCAAAGCGATTCGGATAAAATGTGGAAAGTGCACGTGTCCACCGGCTACCACTTTCTCTGCAACACGTGTGTTCTCGTGCTTTCCATTTCTTACCCGTCACGCTAGGATTTTAATAACAAGATTAGTTGCAACATTGATCGATTGCGTTTCTGGGATCGCTGTCGGGTGTCAACGTTGGGCTACGCTTGTTGCGTGGGCCCTGACCCCAGCATCCGATCGTGAAACTTTTTATTACACGGGAGCAAATAGTGTCGAATGTTTAACGCGACGCAATGCTCGGCACGGTCCGCCCCACCCCGCCATTACCGTTCCTTGAGTGGCCGCTGCCACTGACGCAGGCCATTCCAGCTCGGGGCAAATAACGGACGCCGAGGATACTCGAACACATCCACCCTGGCACGTGTAGGTGGGGAGGCAAGCGCTCTGACTGATGGAGCTGTGCGGCGGACTAAACAGAGACCTGACTCTCACAGACGATCCACACTAGAGGCGTCGTATTACCGAACACAAAGGGAATGTCGCGGAGAAGATCAGAAATCCAAACGTTATTTTGATGACGCTTACCTGATTAGATCAGGCGATGAAGGGTTTGAGGCCACTGCTCAGTTACAGCGGCACATCTTCTCTGACGCGGCGAATGACGCACAGGGAACAAAGGAGGGAGCGAAGGAGCTTAGCGCTTTCATCTGCGGCTTGCGGGTCTATTGGTCTCCGGATTTACCGCAATGACTTTGGACTCAACCGTCCAATGCTGCGTCTAATTGCTTCCTGCGCGAGGCGCGTCACCGACACACACCGACCGCGAGATCTGTGTTCTGCCAACTTATATCTCCTGTTCGGGAGCCCCCGTCCCGGAGTCTATCCGGTCGGATCGCACACCACGACGGCTCGAGTTGGATCCAGTTAAAGCCGTGAAGCCTCATAACAACTGACTCCGCGAAACAGGATCTCCACCCCAAAGGGCGAAAGACGGGACGCAAGAAGTGGCAGCATTCAGTGCAATTCCACTGGGCCTATGCTAAGCTAAACTGCACTATTTGAGAGGATTGCGATTCGGAAAACTGCGGGAGTGATTATGGAACAAGAACGGGAGGTAAAAGGAGAACCAGAAATAGAAAGGTGGTACAAACGGACAAAAGACGACGTAGCCTCAGAAAGCGGCATTAGGACGTTCGCCGCCTAGACGCGTCTCAGCGGCCAGTGGCCGGCTATCCTGCGATCAATCGGTAGCAGGCGGTAGAAGGCGCGTCCTGGCCAAGAGGTAATCACCGGATCCTTGCTCCGATCACACCCTACCCGAACAGCCCAAACAACGGCCTCCCACCGGGCCAATGGCGCGTCCATGCGGAGCGCGAGAAAGTGAGGCATTCCACGGGGCGTCTCCGGCCGGGCGGGCGGCATGTAGAAGAGAATTGCGAGACAGCCCAGAGCGACATTCCACGGGACATCTTCTGCCGCGCAAGCGGCATGTCGATGATAACTGCGAGATAACCCAGAGCGACATTCTACGGAGCGTCTCCGGCCGGGGGGGGGGGCGGCAAGTCGAAGACAACTGCGAGGCAGCCCAGAGCGACATTCCACGAGGTGTCTCCTGCCGTGCGGGCGGCATGTCGATGAAAACTGCCAGACAGCGAGACATCCCACGGAGCGTCTCCGACCGGGCAGGCGGCATGTCGATGAGAACTGCCCGACAGCCCGGAACGACATTCCACGGAGCGGCTCCGGCCGGGCGAGCGACGTGTCCATGCCGCCCATGAGCCAGCCCAGAGCGCCGCCCCACGAGCACCACAGCCGTTATCAGCGCCGGCTGGCGCGCCACCCGCGACGACGGCCGATTATGGCGAGGTTACACAGGGCGGGACTCTTGCTGGGCCACACAACACAGATAAGAGGCAGGCCCGATGGCTCCAGTCACGGACGTACTGTCGTCGCATGGTCCTCAGTTAATTACGAGCAGGACGGCCTTGGTTCGACCGGTCGAAGACCACGTCAAGTGGCTATGCGGTGTAGCGTACTCATTCAGATGCTGGCCGCTTGCGGACGGCCAAGACTTTAAAAATTAATTGCTGTGGATCTCGAGCTCCAACCTCTCTTCTGAGGTCACTTCCGTGCCTTTGGACGTCAGCCGCACCAAGACAAGCGTTGGTCACAGCATATGAGTTCTTAAGATCTTTCTGCATGTCTTCCAGTTATTTCCGTTGTCTCAACGTAGCTCATCATGAATATGGTTGCAAAAACACTCCGGTGCGCCATTTCGCACTAAAGGTACGCAAAACGTTAAATAAATAAATTTTGACGGGAACGGATTTGTACTCGTCTTGGCACGCGTCGACCGACATCAGATCCCATAGATCGGTATCTGACAGTCTGACAAACGCCACCCTTTGCTTTTCGTATCGCTACCGTGCCGTGCTTAGTTGTGTGATTGTACTGCAGTGCGGTACGAGTCGACACATTCGTCCGCACTACCAGATGCTCGCGCGCTCGTCGCCGTGGTAGACATGGTGACGACGATGATGAGGAATGATGATGGTGATGACGATGATGAGAAAGGGAGCGAGGAGGGAAGGCAGGATGGGGACTGGCAGAATGTGTGGGTAGAAAGGCTTAGTTACCCATCAGAGGCGCCAAGCTCAACAAACCGCAACGTAAGGGTAGCTGGGCGAAAACAAAGGGAAACACAACTAAAACATGAATATTGGTTGAAATCGACTGAGGCATGGAAATGATTTGGAGGTGGTCCTCATCTCTGATTCTCCTGCCCAGAGCTCCTAACATGTAAAATTGGTTGCAAGGGGACGGCTAAGTCGACAACGTTGACCCAATCTACCCCAAAACCTCATTTCTCCCTGAATTTCGGCCACTTGAATTTGCCTCCCCGATGTCAGCACGTTTACTATTTCGTAGATTCCAAAGTAGCATTGCCACAGAGGAACGACTTTCCATTTCAAGACAACGCGAAGCCACATTTTTGTGAAAACCTTTGAGTGGGATGTATTTCACAGGAAAAGTCAGAATAATTCAACGAAACTGATTGCTTGACAAACGAGATGGCGTGACAAAAGGATTGTGTGCCACAGGATACTTTTTGGTACAAAATAAACATGATATTGATAACGATGTGCCCAGGTACCTAGTGTATTATGATTGTAATATATTTCTGAGGTCTCCTATGCTGATATTCATTCATGTATCTCCATTCCATCTTTGCTCATATGCATTGAGGGGTCTCAGAGGGGCAGTGGGGAAGGGAGGAACAGCAGCCGAAAAGTATGTGAAGTGGCGGAGTTACGCACCTACGTCTGTCGATTTGCTCTTGATACTTCTTTGTGCGTTTCAACTGCATATGACAAGGTTCGCTGCACTACTCAAGGATGTTGGTCTGGGCTTCGTTCGTTTCGTTACGTAGAAGATTTCATATCACCAGCTTCGTCCTTTAGTCCGTTTGCCACAGATATTTACGACCAAACATTACGTCCCAATCCATACCAAGCACTGGTTCGTCGTCAGGACAAAAGCAGAACCATTGGGGCTGATTCAGTCGGCTGAACCATCAGCCCACGTATAAAATAAAGCGAGAGAACGTGGTGTAACCCAGGCCCGACCCGCATGACCTGATTTCACATCTGACGGATTACACCCTCTGATTTGTTACTACCTGCGTATGAACCAACGTGCCAAGAGGTATGTAATATCATTTCATGCGCTGTCGTACCACTCATAGTTGTAAATGAAAAAAGACCCGAATTCGCTCATTTCAAGTCATTGGCCTGCTTACTTCACCTGATTCTAGCATGCTTATCTTTGTGCTATCCGGAGAGGCAATGCAGTCCTTCCAGTTCCGCAAAGGCGAGAAAAACACCCGTAAGGCAAGGGCAAGGTCGTCAAGGTCATGATGCTGCCCGCTATCAAAACGCCATGCATTCATATCGTGATCATTGAATCTCATGCGGCTGATCATCATGTAGCCCGTCTGACCTCTAACGCCAGGCGGGGGAAGGTGGAGGTGCCAGCTTCAACCCATCACTTGCCATGCGATTTGGTCCACAATGTCACCAGTGTCACAAACCGATGACCTAATTTCGCTAGGCGCAAATGACTTCAGCTCCGGAGTAAGCAAATCTTATTTGCATATTCTTTTTTAACACGCCGCCCAATTATTGGTGTGGCTACAAAATACATGTAATGTTTACGTGTTTTCCATTTGCGATTGACAAAAGACAAAAATCGACCAAAAACACATTCGGAGGAGCTTGTCACAGATGGTATGTCATGAACGATCGCACCAGACCTGCATTCTAGCTCCTCCCCTCCCCAAAAATCACCTGAACACCCCTGTCGGCGCGAGTGACCACCACGACACCCACCCACCTCACCGCCAGCGAGACACCCGTCCATTCCGCGTCCGCCTCCCCCCGATGCCCCCCCCCCTCCCCTCCAATGACCCCTGCTGACCGCGCCTGGAGTCAGCCGGCGGACGCACTATCACCGAGCTGGCACACGTGACCGGCCTGTGACCCCGGCGCTTGTTTGATCGCCGACAATAGGCCGGCCGCACGTCGGCTTCGAGTGATCTGACCGCGGGCCGGGCCGGACGTCGGTCGCATGAGGGCGCCCGTCACGTGCCGGTCACGTGCGCGGCTTTGTTGCCGAGTTGGGGCCAGGCGGCGGACGTGACGTGACACTGAGGCGCCGAAGGATGAGTTGCGTCAGTTTCTAGTCTTGATGCGGTATATTGCAGCGGAGCCGCGTTTACGGGGCCGTGCGAGGGGGTCGGCACCCATCTCAAAGAGCTCCGCGATCCGAACTCTCTCATTCGTCGGTGGTCGATAACACTGTCAGCCGGCTGTCGATAGCACGCGCCGCTACTCCCGACAGCCTCACTCCCATCCCTGCAGATGCGTCCTGCATAGATGGGTCCTCGATGTGGCTACCGATCTCGCCTTGTGGACTACGGCGGCTGCATTTTGAGAACTATCGACCGCCTCCGGAGCATTCATACGTCACCAGCGGTGAACATGCGCCACTAACGTTCAAAAGTGCACTTTCCGCACGTTCAGTTGTGCTGACGTGATTATTTCAAACACGCAAACCGACCATATCATCGCCAGGCTCATCATGGTGCGGCACGTTGAGCCTAGGCCGCTGGCTGGCATCATTCCAGCGGTTCAAGCACTCAGTCCCGACACAAACAGTGCAGACGATCAATCCTGACACAGACTGTCCATGCGCTCAGCCTCGACACAGACAATTCAGACGGTCAGTCCCGAACAGACAGTTCAGACAGTCAGTCGCGACATAGACAGTTCAGATGCTCAGTCCCGACACAGACAGTTCAGACGCTCAGTCCCGAACTTGAAACAGACAGTTCAGACGTTCAGTCCCGACCTTGACATAGACAGTTCAGACGCTCAGTCCCGACATAGAAAGCACAGACGCTCAGCTCCGACACATACAATTCAGACGGTCAGTTCCGAACAGACAGTTAAGACACTCAGTCCCGACACAGACAGCTCAGATGCTTTGTCCCAACACAGACAGAACAGACGCTCAGTCCCGACATAGACAATTCAGACGCTCAGTCCCGGCCTTGACACAGACAGTTTAGACGTTCAGTCCCGACATAGACAGTTTAGATGCTCAGTCCCGACAAAGACAGCACAGACGCTCAGTCCCGACAGACACTGCAGACGCTCATTCCCGACATAGACAGTTCAGACGCTCAGTCCCGACATAGACAATCCAGACGTTCAGTCCCGGGTTCTATTGCAGACAGTGGTTGCGCGTACCTTTGAACCCGTTTCGCTGGTTTTATGGACAGAATTCGGCAACTTCGCGGAATAAATCGGGATGAAACCCAATGCCACGGCAGACATTGCAATCACAGTGGATTAATATTTATGAGAAGATATCTTATCAAATATTCATAGAACTGAGCACAACGCATGTTTGAAAATTCGTTGCGGCTGGAGGGCGAAAGCCCTCTTTTGCATGGCAAGGGTAGCATAAATCGCTTGTTATTTCGGCTTTACGACTCACTCGGGCTACATGTCGAGGTCACTTGACGTCGCCTGCCCATCACCCTGGAAAGAGGGGCGGATACCGCGGACCCCGTACCACTGGTTTTCCAGACACGCAGCGTAACCGATCAACCACCGCAACCTGTCCAACAATTAACGTAACGGCATCACAGACAATGACCTTTCACTGCAGTACCCCGGAATTCACCATCTGATAGGTCCTCGGCTGAAAATGGCCTGGATCTTGGAAATGGTTCGGAGAGTGCCGCGAAGCCGGTTGATGGATGAGTATGTTCTCCTACCTCCATGAGCTGGGTCGGGGTCCAGATGAGCATGCTCTCCTACCTCCATGAGCTGGGTCGAGGTGCAGCTGGTTGTCGTGCTGTTGGCCGTAGTATTGTACCAGCCTCGCCAAAACCACTCGGGAAGAAACCAGATGTACCCCTGAAGCAGAAACCACGCCGTCTGTGCCAGCTGGATGAGGTCGCTAGCCATTGGTTGGCCTCTGGTATATAAAAGAACACAGGACATACATCGGCAACGCCAAAACCTTCAGAAGTATCAGTAAGTGCGTCGGGGGATGCCGATGTTCAAGACGCTTGTTTACAAGCATCACCATGGGACCACTGCGTCAAAATTATGCAGAGTGAAAACATATACGGCCCTTTGTCATCCAGTGCCTACGTCCATAGCCAGTACACAACAAGACATGCGTAAACGGGCACGAATCAAGGCCAAGCTCCACTGAGGCATGTAGCGGGGCGGGGAAGCGCGTCTTCCGCAAAGGGAAGACACTCCCTTTAGAACGTCTTCCCGCCTGTCGGTGAGCGTTCGATAACCAGAGAAGCCTGGCACGCTTGGCTGTCTACGTGCTGTCAGCCTGTTGCTGATCTAATCACAATATCGCCCAGCCATCCGTGAATGCGTCATGATGACGCACTGGTACTGAATGTCGCCTAACGATCCATAGGGCATGCACCTGCAGCTTCGGGATAAGACGACTCCGACGCCTGACTATGTTCTGACGTGATGTTCAGTATGTGACCCGTAATTGGCAGCAGAGATCGATAAACAAATTAGTCTGTTCCAAGCTGCCCCTCCGAAGCAGAAGCTTAACGAATCCCACACCACCCTTCTACCCACGTAACCTTCGGTCAGTATATGAGCGTTTTCTCTCCACTTCCTGGAAGCCAGAAAGCTGAGAACGTTAATAAAGATGGAGACCCCAAGCCAAGTCATTCCAATCCAGTCAGGCTCATCTCATGGCAATCATACATACTTTAACGAGAACTTGTGAACAGGGAAGTTACTCGCTCTGAATCTGACTGGGTAGCTGCCAGCACGAACCGATCATTGGACAGCTGGGGCGGTCCAGAAGAGTCTGGTTCTAGAAGAGGTCTAGAAGAGTCTAGAAGAGTCTGGGTCTAGAAGAGATCTAAAAGCGTCTAGAAGAGTCTGGGTCTAGAAGAAGTCTAGAAGACTCTAGAAAAGTCTGGGTCTCATTTCAAGACATTGCATGGACGGCGTTTGACTGTCTGATATCTTGGTGTCCAAAAAAGGCACAATGTTACGTATCATATCAATGTCGAGCTAAACAACAAGACTGTAAACAGCATTCCGTCGGAATTTTCATCTAGTTAATGTAGTTAACTAAACCTACTGAAAAGTGTTGTAACTGGTTCCCTGACAGGGAAACTTAGAGATCGTTCTTTTACAAAGCAAGGGTTACAAATGTTGATATTCTTCCTCTCGCTGTAACGTGAGCCACTAACGCTATTGCCGCGCTCCAGACAGCTGTTGGCGGGTAGGTCTACGCGCAATCGGTACTATCGAGATCTACGCGATTACAAACTCAGGTGACAACTCGCTCATATGGTATCCTGTGACCATAAATGCAATTACACAGGCTTCGTATCATATCAATGTCGTTACACAGGCCAAGTCCAATTCTTGACACTGGGAACATACTCCGTGATAGTTATGTACATCGACCAAGACAGCAAGAGATAATGCTCCAACCGCACAGACATTGCTAGAGATCCTGTGCGGCCGAGTTGGTTCGGACCCCGAGCCCGGGAAAACCGAGCATGGGGTGGGGGTCCGTGGGCCCTTAAGAGGTTTATTTTTCCTAATAGTATTTTGCCATCGGCCATCTGTGAATTTCATGACTCAGGCTTAGTGGGCTTCATCTGCAAACTCTCTGCCCTCTAGCTATTTAATAGGATCTTTCTGATCACCACGGGACACTGTTCGCTTGAGGGCCCTTATGGCTACAGCGGCGTTCTCCTCTGACTGATCAAGGACCTCACTAGCCGTCCAGGGGCCCCTCCAATCACCATGGGCACCCATAATTGTGCAAGGGTCCTTCTGACCACCTCAGTGCTCGTCTTCATATTGAGGGCTCACTGGTCACTCAGCCAGGGGCTCACGAGCCAACAGAGGATCCCACGTCTGGTCGCCAGAACTATTCAACTGTATCCTGGGCCGTCTGGGCACTCAGGCGATTGCTAGTTGCATTGGGCTTTTTGTTAGCATAGAGACCCTTCTATCGCCCAAGAGCCCCCACCCCTCCCCTGTCTGTTCGTACGCTCAGGGTCACAGGCACGAGGGACAGGGGATTGTGTCTCCTCTCTCGGTCCCGTGGGATCAAAAAGCTCCTGGGAACCGAAGATAGTGGACACGATTGAGCGTCTCTAAGAACCAGGGGTTAAGCCAAAGGTCATGCTGACGAACTCCGGTCCTACAGGTCGGGAACCTCGAATGTCATTCAGAGGGCTTCCTGCACCGATTCCTCCCCTCCCCCCCCCCCCCCCGACACAACAAAGGGCCACCAGTCCAAAAATCCCCCAGGTCACCAGCCAGTTCAAAAATGTCAAGCAGTATGAACAAATTATGCGGTACAACGGATGACACCTTTGGAATGTCACCAAAGCTTTACATCGCAACAGTTATTGCAGAAGCGCATGAGATGCGTGTGCGACCAGCTAAACCCTGAAGAACAAGCTGGTACTCGCTGCACGTGATGCAAAACGGTGGCATTCATGCATCAGCAGGCTACAGTGCACACATAGCATCATCTACGGTGCCTTCACGAGGTACAGCGGAGAGACGCGTTTGTATATGAGGTTTGGCTGCACATGGACACAGCTCTGCCCCACCGCTGACCCGCGTGACAGCCAGGCAACGTCCGGTAACACAAATCGCTTCAACATGGCCGCGACTACCGAGGAAGTGCGAGGTTCACAAATGCCGGTCCGCTTATCCCGGTAGAGTCCAGTGTCATCGATGTTCACCGACGTGAAGTGACGACACAAAAAATCCTTTACCGCTAATAAGGCACTCTGCATTCCGCATTTACAGGGCGTGCTCCATATTTGTGTGGGGATTTGAACTGAAATGGCCATTTTGAACATCATCAGGTACAGTTCACAGCCTTGCTCTCCTTCCCTGCAGTTTCTGAGCTACACGCCTCCGAACACGTACAAACTATTACTGGGGAATACCTCAAGGTCATCCAAGCATCCATGACGTCCTAATAATGCCATTGAAATCGTGTCATTTCATTGGTCATGCAGCGATCACCGCCAAGAAAAATATGTTTGTCGAGTTACTTGTATCTGGCATTTGTGAGCACAATTTCAAGAAATAACGGCCATCAGTTGGCTAACCATCAATGTTGTGCAAGGTACGATGACGTAATCAAACACACGCGTTGAGGAGCTCATTTAGCAAAGAGGGAAACTGGGTTGGCTAAGGCAGTCTTTTCAATCTAGAAGTATACCAACAGTCATAAGTGAGCTTTTTCATCAAATATGCGCTTCAATGCCTTCACATGGGGCACATTCCCTTCAAAACGCGGTATTACATGTACTTTGACAACGTGACAACGCGTTCAAATTGCAGAATGGTGGCGAACTCCTGACCAAAGAAATGACCCGACCAAACATCACTCCACGGTCTCAAATACGAAAACCATCCGACTTCTCACCCACAGAACACCACAATGGGTATCTCTCTGTGCGGTCACAACCTGCCGGCGTACAGCCTCTGTGCACCACACATGTGTGTCACAATGCCAAGGCATCTCATCCTGATATGGAATGGGCTTACAAACAGTGCGGGGTGCATCCTAATTTTAGGTCACTTTTCTGCACAGCATTCACAGACTTCACAGAGACTCAGAGACTCAAAAGAACATGGACTCAAAATTCACGACCGCTCGCATTACATTAACCTCCGGACCGTGCATAACGAGGCCTCATCGCAACAGTACCTGCCTGGCCGTCATGTTCTGCAGGTAGGCCTCGCACATGATGGCCTTCGCCGCCACCTGGTACATGTCGGCTATGATGATGCGGGCCTTCTTGTCCTTCAGTTCTTTCAAATACTGAAAAGGCAAGGTGTTTGGTTATTATGAAGCAGCTGGCTAGAAAATGAACTGGCGGGAAGGATGTGATGGCAGAGAAGTTAGCGCTGAAGGAACCAACCATCGGCCCACGTGAGGGGGGAGGGGTATTATAAAAGTAACCCCGAATTACAAAAAAACCGTCGCGCCACTGCCGCGTTGTCTGTGATCTTATTGTCAAAACAATGGCACTGCCAGGTGCTTCTTTGGCTGTGATCCGGTATCAGTTGATCCCGAGTATCACTTATCATCTGTCCATAACCTTGCACGTAAACTTACTTAGGACCTAAACAACTCTTAGCGGTCATGAGCTGCGAGTCCTGTTTTGTGAACGAGGCCAGTAAATCGATGTTGTTCCGCCTACAAGGACATCTCGTCTCAGTCATTTCGTAAAACTGTTCGCTTGTCGCGTGTTGCCACGCACAGGAGCATTACAAAATACAGCATATGTTGACGCTCCTTCTCGGAAGTAACGGAGAGAAGCCAGCCCCGCCAAAGTCCTGCATGTTTCCATTCAATGCCCGCTTCGATGAAGACCGCTTCCCCTCAAGTGTTCGATCCTCCTTTACGTCAGACCTGCTACTTCCGTCCCTGCCTCGACATCGATTGATCCACATGCTTGACCTGCGTCTCACGTCGTCAGATCCCCTGTGTGGGACGTGTTCCCCATGTTTTCCGGGCCGGTGATATCGGCTGCCACCCCCGCCCTCCCCACCACGCCTGTCTCGGCACACGACGCCGCCTCCTCACTCCCTCAGCCCGCCCCACCCAATATCCATACGTGTCCCCCTCTGTGTACCCCCTGCCACAGGTCCAACACTCCTCCCATCCTCCCATCAGGGGTGTTTCAATCCAACAGATCAACGTGGACCGTATGCCGAAAACTGCGACAAGAAGCAGACCTGGCCCACATGCACGCCAAGTGAGAGAGAAATCCCACTTTCCCTGATCATGGAGGGTCACACCCCGTTGGTCCTCGGCTGGATCCGGCCGTGTCTCCATCAGCGTCCGCCTTAGTCGCGCTCAGCCCGCTTCGCGTCCACTATCCTCGGCTCAGCGGCCAATTAGCGCAGCGTCCGGCCCAGCTCGCGTGTCCACCGCAGCCTGCCCCCCTCCCCCCGCCTCGGTCCGGCCCAGCCCGCGTGTCCACCGCAGCCTGCCCCTCCCCCCGCCTCGGTCCGGCCCAGCCCGCGCGTCCGCCGCGGTCTGCTCCCCCCAGGTAGGGAGCTCAAACCGAGCACCGCCCGCAACACGTGTGGCTGCCGGCGAAAATAGGGCTGCACGTGACGGCCCGCACGTTGTCCGTGGGTAGTGCCGCTAATGGCGTTGATGGTACGCGGCGAGGCAATGAGGGCAAACATAAGGCGGGCGAGGGCCGCCTTCTCGGCGCGACACGCCGGAGGCGCATTCCGAAAACAGCTCAGAAATCTGATCAGACTGATCAGGTAGCTCATGTGGCCAACAAACAGAGGCCAACTAGACCATTCATGAGGCCATTGATGACGGTCATGGATTGATCAATACCATGTAACGATGCCAAAGTTGTTCAAGAACGGCTAAGTGACAGATTCCGAGCCCTTTGCCCGCCGGAGAAGTGCGCCATCTTTCTGTGCGCCACAGAAAGATGGCGCACTTCCCTGGCTCTCACAGGTTATTGGCATGCGATTGTCAGTAGTTTTGTTCATCCGTCAATATGATTCATTAATAATCAAACATGTAGATACGGAATCAAATGTGTGTCGGGCCGCATCATTTTCTAACAAGACCGTTCACAAGCTGCCTAAAATGTGATTTTCTATCTCCCCCCCCCCCCTCTCTCCTCTCTCTCTCCTCTCTCTCTCTCTCTCTCTCTCTCTTCTCTCCCTCTCCCTCTCCCTCTCCATCCCCTCTCCCTCTCCCTCTCCCTCTCCTCTCCTCCCTCTCCTCTCCTCTCCCTCTCTCCCTCTCCTCCTCCCTCTCCCTCCCTCTCCCTCTCCCTCTCTCTCCCGCTCCCTCTCCCTCTCCCCTCCTCTCCCTCTCCCTCCCTCTCCTCTCCCTCTCCCTCTCCCTCCTCCCTCTCCCTCTCCCTCTCCTCTCGCCCTCCCTCGCTCCCTCTCTCTCTCTCTCTCTCTCTCTCTCCATCTCCTCCTCTCTCTCCTCCTCTCTCTCTTCTCTCTCTCTCCCACTCTCTCTCTCTCTCTCTCTTCTCTCTCTCTCTCTCTCGCTCTCTCCCCGCCTCACCCTTACCGTAGCCATGTTAGTCGTATCGCTAGGAAACTTCCTGTTGGCGATAAAGGTGACACCGGACGCTTGCAGCATGTCGTGCATGATGGAGATGTACTCAGAGTACTTCTGGCCGTTCTCTGTCAGCGACGCCACTCGCTTCCACTTGAGCTGGGCCAGCAGCTGCTTGTACACAAACCTGAGAACGAGAACGTATCAGGCGACCGCCTGTTTGTAGCTGGTTGACCGTCACTTCTGCGTATTGCAAAATACTCCCTCTCACCAGTTGTGGTAAGAGAATGAAGCGTTTTGAAACTGGTCTTTGTCCTGAGTCCCCGCTTTAGTCTCATTGACCGTGATACCTCTCATCTCATTTACATGCGCGTTGTGCGGTGATTACAATGTCACAAAAGACATCTTCCGCAAGCAGGGAGCTAGAATTGCTTTGTAACTAGGGTGGGAGTGAAAAATTGCATCGCAAAACATTGTACAGGAGTGAAAAATCAATTCATTAAAGATAGAACTTATGAGCTCGTGACTGATGCTTCAGCAAACAAAGGTATCTATTTCAAGTTGGCACGGACGTAATATCATAAACCTGACAAAACTTTTTGGTTTTTAACATCTTAAGCTGTTAAAGTGAAACAGAATACGTTAGAGCATAGTAATTTAATTACAGTGTGATGAGTATAAACAATTATCTACACCAATAATTTGATGCTGTACTTTGCACTTCCCTTCCACAACACTTAACACAAAACAAAGCAAAGGAATTCAATAACAAGATAACAAAAAATTTAACGAGCATAAAGCACTCAAACAAAAAATCCTTGAACGCCTACACATCAGCCCATCACTAAGTCAAACACAATAGACATACCTCTGGCTTTTGTTAAGATGGGGTCAGGGAAAACAAACCTTTTGTCACTGTTTCCTATAAAATACCAATGCTTATTCCATGAAAGTAGCTCAACTATGCCTAACATAAAGAGGCCTTACTTCGTCTCTTCCTGTCTAACCTGTTTGTATCACAGCAGCAGTTGTGAGTTGCTGGTTCTTGCACCATTCCTATCGCCACTTGCCATGCACTTAATCAACTTAATCTAACTTTGAGAAGCCCATATGTTGAACATCATCTCAACTCACCTATCTGTTGACAGCAGCACTTGTGATAAAAACATGATATAGCTAATTTTTGGCTGGTTTCAACTCGCATTTCTATTCAGTTCATTTGTGTATGCTTGTTGGCCTCAGACAAAGTTGACAACAAACGAATCAAAATACTTGAAATCACTTTGAACGACTTATTTTGATTGTCATGGTTAAGCTATGTCAAGGACAATAATGGGTATGCTCCACAAAACAATCTCTCTTCTCCAAAAGAAAATGACTAACTCTGGTTACCAATCATGTGTTGGAAGCGGGTAAGGCAAGCAATTACTTGGTTCACAGGAGGCTTACTGGCTTCTTTCTGCTCCCCCACGACAAAAAGTCAGTACCTTTTGCATGGTCTGCTGGCAGACAGAATCATCCGACTCACCCCCAAATATAAATAGCAATCATGCCCACCAACCTACGAGATTAAAATGCGAAACAAGTAAGAGGTGTGCATGATAAACATCTCCAGAGGGCAGAATTTCGCCATCAAACACTCCTGCATTAGCTGCGTCAGGTCTGTCCAAAAGCTCTGTATGGCAGCATTGGGATGGCCATGTCATGTAGCCTGGTGAGATAGACACTCGAAAGGCTTAGATTTATCGTTATTGAGCACCGCTATGAACCAAGAAGACGGTTAAACGAGGGCTTAACGGGGCAAAAATGGCGATAAAAATAAGTTCCGTGCTTCAAATTGTCATCAACTTGGGTGCATATCAAACATGTTTGGGCGGCTGACGAATAAATCCAATTTAGGGATGAAATACGTACAAGTTTGCAGTTGGAGAATCTTGCAGATAAATTTTTTCACATTTTAAGCAACAGATGGTACCTCTAGAGGGAATCCAAAAGAAAGGAAGCATTAAGTGGTATCACACTCGTATGATATCAATAAAAATAAAAGTAGTTAAATAAATATAAAGACTGATGCTTTTCTGGCAAAATTTTGTTATCAGCTGATTTGACTTAAAATCTGTTAAAATAAGTGCTCAAATGGTGATATCCATCTTGTAGATTTAATTTGGAAGGCATTTCTTGAATTTTTCACTCCTGTATTTCGGGGGTGATGCAATTTAGTGGTCAAGTTTCCTCGGGGGAAAAAGAAATACGTGGAGTAAAATTCTCTACCAGGCCTTGCTGGTGTTTGCACCAGGCTCTGCTTTCGTGGTGTGGTGGTGAGACGAAAAATAGGGGATGCGTGAAAACCTTGCATTTGGTACACAGCTGCCGATTGTAATGCATTTTGTACACAAACCAAACTTAATGCGTGCAAGCGGCTGGAGTCGCTGGGGTTCTCGGGCTTGGAGGTACCTGGCGCCCTTGCTTTGCGTATACGTAAACATGATTCAGATGTAGGTGAGGCAGGACATAGCCATAGGTGTCCAGGTTCTGTGGAGTCTCGTTTATGCTTGGTGGTTTCAAGTGAGCTCGATTTTGGATGACATTTGAAAACCTCAGAAAGGGAAACAGGGGGTTTGGCACGTGCAATTAGACAATTTCAGGCGGGAAAGAAAAATTCACATAAAATATGGAGAAAAGGAGTGAAGAATTCCTCCACATAGGGTGCTGCTTTACACCCAAAGTCGGCAATTCTAGGACACTGTCCGCAAGCGTACTACCATCGCATTAAGTAAAACCATTATAACTACCACATTCGGTAGTTGTAGCTTGCATGGCGTAAGGCTGCCACTACAATTTGCCTGGGTCACAACTGCGTTGGACCGGCTACGATAGCGGCCAATGTGGCGCACTGCTAAGTACTGCATAACGGCCATCCATCACCACCACCCGACACCCACTTCAGATATGCCGCCCGACAAAGCCACCACGCGGCCCCGAGCGGGAGCCGTCACTCACTCCGCCAGGGCCCGGATCATGACTTATGTATCCTAAACGGATCAGCGACGATGACGAGCGCGGGGTCATATGTGAGTCCACCCACCACCAGTCCTTCAGATTACTTTACCATTAAAGTAACGCCTAGCAACGGGACGAGTTCCCGGGCGCCATCTCCGCGAATGTAGCGAGGCTAAAACCGCTTATGCCACAGAGGCAACATGCAGACCAGTGCATGCATGAATGTGCATCAATGCGCAGCACTAAGGCGCTCTTACACTCTCCATTACACCCAATAAGGGATCGTAGGCTTCATCACAAGCTGATAGGATTGGGCGTAATGAACACATTAATTTTCTAATTTGATGCCCCGGAAAGTTGGGACAACTCCCGACTCGAGCTAAAAATGTATTTCGGACGCCGCTCATGGTGTCCATTGTGCGCATACTTAAGCTACGTTTTCCTACTCAAAATTGGCCGCTAATGTGGGGGTGAATATGACCAGCGGTACTGCCGCCATATTCCCTCACGCTGGAACCAAACAAATAAGCAACAAATAACGAAGCGTGATATATTTGCCTGACTGACCTTGGTTTCAGTACTCAGAAGCTCAGCGCGCTGCAGTACCAGGAGCCTCGGCCTCCAAGTAAGGTGATCGTTTGGCCCGCGTCAGCCAACGGCACCGGAGATTTTAGCGGGAGAGGTCATGCAAGGTCACGACACAGCCGCTCATGGAACACCGTGATCCTCCTCGTCGGGGACATACGACGCCTTGTTATATTGCAATAAGGCGCGTCGGCACTGGGCGCACCACCGGAAGTGTATCCCGTGGCAGTGTAAATAACGTTGTCCTTGCCACCCCCACACGGCTCGGGCAGCACGGTACGCGGCATAACGAGGCAGGCCTTCTCAGTATGTCATCGAGACGGCAGCGTAGCAGACAGATAATAATGGACAGACAGAACGCCTCGCAACACAAAAGATGCTGGAAAAACCGGCTTATTGCCACGTCCTTGCGCATTAACAAAAAATAGATTTCCTAGGACCATTTCTAGAGGGCAGATATACAGCATGACGCCAATGGCTTGTGTGTGTGTGCGTGGAGGGGGGGGGGGGGGGTGATGACCATTGCGTGTGAGCGGGACAGAGGGCGAACAGTAAGCCAATTTTCTGACATAACCTCAATTAAATTGTAATTTCGATGATAACCTTACTAGAACGTGAATAATTCATGTTCATACAGCCCATAAAAGGAGACGACGGCAAAATACAACTGGTCGGAGTGAAAAGGAAGTAACGGTTTAAGGTGGTAGTGCTAGAAATACTTTGTCAAAGAGCATGACCCAGGCACGTTACATCACAGTTCTCTCCATATCTGAAGCTCTCACGGAAAATTATTTCAAAAATACTAGTTACACAGCGAACCGCGAGTCCTGGCGGCGCTTCGAAATAAGGTTTATTCTGGAGAAATCAGGGGAAATTATCACGAAACTTCAGCTTTTAAAGGCTGCGTGAGTGTGTCGACAATCATCGTGTTGAGTTGACGTACAGCAAATATAATAATAATACCTTATCCGTTATTACCATACGTGACATTTCTGGTCCCCGCACCGAATTACTGAGCCCGTGGAAAATGCCCATAACCGCAACGGCAAGTTATAAATAGTTTGCGACGGTCCCGCAACTGATGGTTCGGAAAAAGCCTCGACGAACATGTTGAAACTGGTAAGATCTTTCTTCATGATCTAACAGCGGTGGTTATTCAATTCTGGATTGCTTAGATCGGTTATTGAGTTGATTTAAAGCCTTCCTTTCGATACATTAGTGTGGGGAACGAAGACCAGGCATATTCACGGTTTTGTGGAAAGAGCGGGGCGGGGCTATTTCGAAGAGCACCATTTCGCCTTATCTGTTCACCATTCATCCTTTTAAAAACGTATCTTCTCGAGCAAGGTCGATAGAACGACTCTGTTCTCAGAACCTTTGACCTCAGAACCAGTTACGTCCAATACTCGTTCTGAATAAAGTCCCCCCAGCACCGTAAACGACTCTATCCTCAAACTGGTTCTGAGGTCAGAACGACTCTGTCAAAGGGTAGTAAAAACCAATGATCTTCATGATCTGTGCCCGAGCAATGGTGAAACTAGCTCTAACGAACAAGCTAGTTTGGTGAGCTCTAGCGAAACGTCTGATATTAGCATGGGCGCA